GATCCTCCTCACAGCACTAGGAAGTAGGTTTAGTTCCCATTTTCTTTTTTAGCAGGTGAGGGCACAGAGAAGTTAAGCGACTTGACACACATCACACAGCTAGTAAATGATTGAGCTGAGAGTCATACCCACATGTCTGTCTTGCTCCAAAGCCTGTGTTCAAGCCTGGGAGGCAGCAGTGGGCAGGGGCAGGTGCAGGGACCCGGGCCCATGGGGCAGGATTAGGGGTTGTGTTTGGAGTAGTCTCAACAGCTTTGGAAAGAGGGATTTCTACACCTGGGGGTTTCACAGCCCGAGTGTTTGTTGGGACTGAGGCGCCTATGAATCCAGCACTGTGCTCAGGGCTGTCCATGCAGCATCTCATTCGGCCCTCAACACAGCCCTGTGAGATTGAGACCCTCTTGTCTCCATTTTATGGTTGAGGAAACTGAGGCTCAGAGAGGTGAAGGGACTTCCTAAAGTAGCAAGTGGGTAGCAAAACTAGGATTCCAACCCAATGTTTCAGACTCCAGAGCCTGTGCCTTGCTGCCTCTCATAAAAACAGCTACTAGTAGGTACTCACCGACTTTCACTTCCTTTACGGATACTGTTCCTGATTCATCCAACCCTTCAAGGTAGTTGTTGTTATTTGGCTACTTTTTTTTAATTTTTAAAACATTTTGGGGGCAGGGTAGGTAATTAGATTTGTTTGTTTGTTTGTTTATTTCAATGGAGAGACTGGGGATTGAACCCAGGACCTCGTGCATGCTAAGCACACACTCTACCACTGAGCTGTTCCCTCCCCACCATTTATCTGCTTTTACAGATGCAACAGCAGGTTCACAGAGGTTAAGCAACTTCCTCAAGGGTACCAGCTCATAAACGGAAGGGTCAGGATTTGTACTCCAGGCCTGCCTGCATCCAGAAGATGTTTTTTCTCCTCTTTGCCTGCTGCCTCATAGTTTATAGGCCCAGGACTGCCTGTTTATTCCACTGTCCCTGCTCTCAAGGGATGTAGGGCCCAGCTGGGGAGACAGTTTACACACACAGTTGTCCTGTCACAACTCAGCATGGAGCAGTGAGTGTGTCAGGTGCCGTGTACAAGGCCTCACAGCCCCCGAGGCTGCCTTGGTCAAAGAGGCTGCTGACAGGGCCCGGGCGAGTCCTGGTGAGCAGAGAGAAGGGAGGGCCGGGGCTCGGGAACAGGGGCAGAAAGCTGGGGAAGGGTAGTGGGAGGAAGGCTGGAAATGATGCTTGGGCCTAAATGTGGAGGGCCCTAACATCAGGACGAGAAGTCTGTCCTTTATCTTGTTTTTTAGAGGTCAGTGAAGAGTTTTTGAGCTGAGACGTGACTTGAAAGGGCTTATTTAGAGGAATATGACAGTGTGTGCAAGAGGGGCTGAAAGGCAGAGGGTCTGGGAGCAGGGAGTCTTCTGGGGAAGCTGTTCGGTGACACAGACCTGGTCTGGGTTAGGGTGTTGGGACTGGAAGAGTGACAGGTTATGAGGGAAGAACCTGACCAAACCCAGCAACTAGCCAGGCAGGGATGAGGGAGAAGGGTTAGTCTGCAAAGAGACTCCAAACTGGATTCCCCTGCCTCTGCCACTCACTGGCCGTGTGACCTTGGGCAAATCCCGTTCTCTCTGGGCCTTTTTTCATTTGAAACTGAAGGAGTTACAACAGAGGCAGTCAGTGAAGGGACGTTTACCATGTATCGGCTACTTGCCAGGGGCTGTGTTACATGCTCTTTGAGGTTCTTTCCAGCCCTTGGATTATGCCATCAGCAGAAAGAAGGAACCAAGCGGGGAAAAATAACACTCATTATGACACTGTAAAATTTATGGAAAGACCTCACACTCAGGCTTTGGGAACTTGGCTTCACATCCTGATTCTGCCAGTTATTAGCTGTGTGGCCTTGGGTAAGTCACTTAACCTCCCTGAAAAGTCTCCTTAACTGTAACCTGGAGATGATGGTGATAATCTTACCTCCAGGGATGTGATCAGGGTTCAAGGGGAGAATGTATGCAGAGTGCTCAGCATATAGTAGCACTCAGTGACTGTTCTCTTTCCCTCCTTTTGCTCAGTAATTCTATGAGCTGATCCTAACAGTGCACACTTCTTAAGCACTTACTTTGTGCTGCTTCACATGTGTCAATTCATTTAATCCTCACAACAGCCCTATGAGGTGGATTCTCCTCTTATCACCATTTCAGTGGTTGAGGAAACAGAAGCACAGAGGGTTTAAATAATTTGCCTTGCCACACATCTAGCAAGTGATATCATCAGGAGAAACCCAACTAGTAAGAAGAGCCAGAATTCATGTTCCACTCTACCTGTTATTCCTATTTTACAGATGAGAAAACTGAAGATCAGAAAAGTTTATTTGACTGCAGTCTCACACACAACCAGTTAGTGGCAAAACCAGGTTTCAGAGTGTGTCCATTGGCCTCAAACCCCCTGCCTTGACCATGCTGCCATTGCCAAGGAAGAGATGCTCAGATGCTTAGTTCCAGTTTAAACACGCCCTGGTTGAGGTGGTGGTGAAACAGCCTAGCACAAGTCTCTTTGGTAGCTAGGATTGTGAGACGTGAGTCAGCCTCACTGGTATATGCCAAGTGCCCAGAAGAGGGCCTGGCACATTGTGGGCACACAGTAAGTAATCATTGAGGGCAAGAGGCCAAACTGGAGATACTATGTGGGGAGTTGATCCAGTGGAAGTGAAGACTGGGAACATAGCTAAGGGCTGGGGATCACAGGCAGCCCCATGCAACTCTCAGGATTCTGTCTAGTAAGGAGCCACTGCTCTTGGGAACATTGGTCCTCTGTGGCCTGGGATACCAAGAGGCTCAGTGGATAGAATTGTGGGCTTTGCATATGGCGGACCTGGGTTCAGATTCCTGCTCTGACAGCATACCTACCTTGTGACTTCAGATTAGTTACTTCTGTTTTGTTCTTTTTCCTTTTTTTTCTTAGGTTTTTACTGAAATACAACAGGCTTACCAGAAGTGTACAAATCATAAATGTTCTGTTTGTTGAGGGTTCACAGTTGGAACACACACATAATCAGTACCCAGATCAAGAAACAGGGGTGTCCCAGGAATACCCCCTTTCTCATCTCTGTCACCCCTCCAAGGATAACCACAGTTCTGACTTTTAACACCATAGATTACTTCTGCCTGATTGTGAACATTTTGTGCTCTTACATCTGCAGTGGTTTTTTTTTCCCCACTTCACAAAACGTCTGTAAGATTCATTCATGTTGCTGTGTGTAGTCGAGGGTCACTAGTTCTCATTGCTGTATAAAGTGCCATTGTGTGACTATACTGTAATTTTTTATCTACTCTACTGTTGATGGGCATTTGGGTAGTTCCAGATTCTGGGTGTTTTGAGAATTGTTGCTATGAACATTCTTGCGCGTGGCTTTAGGTGCACGTCAATCCATGCACTTTCCTCCTGATAAGATACCTAGGAGTGCAGTTGCTGGGATCGGTGTGCTGAGCTTTGGTAGTTAGTGCCAAGCAGTTGTCCATAGTGGTCATATGAGGGTTCTAGTTGCTTTACATTTTTGCCAACACTTGAGATTATATCTATCTCTATCTCTATCTATGTATCTATAGATATATAGATATATCTTTTTTCCATTTTAGCCATTCTGGTGCATATGTGTTGGTAGCATATTGTGGTTTTAATTTGCATTTCCTTGATGACTAATGAATACGAGCACCTTTTCATGTGTCTGTTAGCCATTTGAACAGCTTCTTTTATGAAATGCCTGTTTGAGTCTTTTGTCCAGATACAGACACGTATGTATATAGTTCTTATTAAACCATTTTACAGTAAATTATACACATCATAGATACTTTACCCATAAATACTTCAGCATGTTTCTTCAAAATTTAAGACTAGCCTCCTACATAATGACAATTCCATTATCACATCAAGGAAAATTAGTATCTCCCAAATTTCTAATCTGTAGTCATTTTTACCCCCATTGCCCTCCAAATCGTTTTTGTTGCTGTGTTTTGTTTTTTTAATTTTTTTTTAAGGGAGGTACTGGGAATTGAACCCAGGATCTCATACATGCTAAGCACACACTCTACCACTGAGCTGTACCTTCCCCCCTTAAATCTCTTTTAATTTAGAACCATCTTCTCTCTCCTTTTGTAAGTGACATTGACTTAAAAAATTTTTTTTTAATTGAAGTATAATTGATGTACAATATTGACACTGACTTTTGTTAGAGAGCAGGCCAGTGGTCTTGCAGACTTTCCACATTCTGGATCTGATTGTCTCCTCATAGCTTTACTCTCACTGTTTACTTTGTCCCTCTGTCTCCTCAACCTTCTGGAGACTGGAACTTAAATCTCGGCTTGTTTAGATGCAGATAAACTTCACTAAGCCTTCTGGATCTCCTTCTCCAATTTAGAGCGATGTGTGAGCAGGTGTTAAGCCTTAGCACAGTGCTTGACACATAGCAGGTCTCAGTAGGTGGTGGTAGCAGCTCTTGAGATTTGTCCCCACCTTCAGCAGGCATTTTGCTGCAATGTTTCCCAGAAACAGCTTCCCTGAGGCTTCTCTTGTCCCAGCCAGGCAGCACTGGCTTCTCCTGGCTGGGGCTCCTCGCTCTGGGCTTGGCCATCCCCCATCTATCTCTCCTCCCACTCTCAGACAACACAGGCAGTTCCACGTACCGGCCACCCCCTCGGACCCGGGAGGTGATGATCAACGGACAGGTGGTGAAATTGAAGTACTGCTTCACCTGCAAGATGTTTCGGCCACCCCGGACCTCACACTGCAGTGTCTGTGACAACTGTGTGGGTAAGTAGGAGGCAGCAGGGAGGGATGGGGGGAATCCTGAGAGAGACAGAGCCCTGGAGACAGGGGAGTCACTCATGGCGGGCAGGAAGGTGTCTGAAATATCCAGGACTGACTAAGAAGTCTGGCTCACCGATTTGCTCTGACTATGGAGGGGCTGTGGGGAGGGGCTCTCAGTGTGACCAGTGGTGTCTTGGCTTCAGCCCAGGATTGGTGTATTTCCACCCCATAGCTCTAGTAGAGGGTGGACACAGAGACACCCAGAACCTTTCTCCCAGGCCTCAGCCTGGTCCTCAGTAGGGCCACATTCCCAGGAACCAGAGACTGGAACAGTGACATTCCAGATATGTTTGATTTATGATCCAGTGGCCCAAGGCCAGCTATACTGAAAGACTTTGATCTATTTCCCAGGATTTGGAGGGATGAGAATCTGGGAACAGAGGAGTTTAAGCTGGTGAGGTGGAGAGGATGTAGCCAGGATTGGAAGCTAAGCTCCTGACCCACAACTGCAGTGGTTGCTGGGGAACCAGAGGCTGTTTTGTCCCCTCTCCCTGCTCTCCAGAGACCAGGCAGCTCTGATGGGGACCGAGGGTGTGTCCCCGGGAGGGTGTCATAAGGGAAAGGCTATGGGAGAGGACTCAGGTGAGCTGAGCCACAGTGACTGTGCACAGTCCCCAAGGCGGTGAGCTCATCACGCTAGCTCAGCGCTCCCTGAGCAAGAGAACAGTGGGGAACACCCTGGGATGGCAGGCAGTGAAGTGGGTGACTCAGTGGGCGTCATTCATCCCTGAGAATCTGCCCCACCCACCCCCTGTGAAGGGCGCTGCCCTGCAGCGGGCTTATAACCCACATTCCCACAGGGGACTTTCCTCACCTGTCTGGGTGTGGCTCCACCCTCTGGGGACATAGTGCTGGTGTGAGCTCAGCCCTCTGCCCGGGCCTCTGATGTCGGTTCTCCAGAAGTTACATAGCGGCCCAGCCCCTCTCTGGCCCTCTAGTTCTAGAGCAAAAGGCAGGGGTCATTGGTTGTTGGCATGTGGCCGGAATGGTAGGCCAGGCAGCAGCAACTTTTTATGGATCTTCTTTATACCAGGCACTGCCAAACCCTGGGATTCAGCTCAGGCCTTCTCATGGAGCTTACAATTGAGCAAGGGTAACTGGCCAGCTCACTAATTGTAAAGAAGTATGTAACTTATGTGAATATGTGGGCAAAGTGCTGCAAAGGATAAGTGCCAGGGCAGCAGGGCCAATAAGAGGGGCCTCGCCTTGTCTGGAGTTGGTCTTGCAGCCGAGACATGAAGGAAGAATAACCCTGAACCAGGTCGAGAGACGGGGAAGAATGTGTGAGGCAGTGGGAACCCATGCGCAAAGGACCAGAGGCTGGGAGTGTCGAGGAACTGAGAGTTGGTGGGTGTGGAGAGGGTTGTGGGGGGCGCCCCAGCTGTGGCAAGAGGCCTCTAAACACCTGTGCTAGTTGCAGGCCAGGCCGGCCTTAACGCAACTCCCCTGACTCTTCTAGAGAGATTTGACCATCACTGCCCCTGGGTAGGCAATTGTGTGGGGAGACGGAACTACCGCTTCTTCTACGCGTTTATCCTCTCCCTCTCGTTCCTGACGGCCTTCATCTTTGCCTGCGTGGTCACCCACCTGACGCTGCGTGAGTTGGGGTGGAGTGGGGGTGGGGTCGGGGCAAGCGGGAGGAGAAGCGGGCAAGCTCAGCTGTGGGTCACCGGGGCTGTGGTCACTCTTGTTTCTTCCTCCCTAGGCTCTCAGGGAAGCAACTTCCTCTCCACTCTGAAGGAGACACCAGCGAGATATCCTTTGTCAGCTAGGGGGAGCCCTGGTGGGACCTGGTGGGACCCCCTTAGCTGAGGCGAGTCCCCACACCTGTAAACAGAAGGGATGATGTAGAGCCAATTCTGAATGGGCTGTGGTGGGGCTGGGATGGCCGAGAACCCTCAGGAGCCACAGCCCCTGTCCTCCCTTAAGGCCAGGCTCCCTGGACCACGCCATGTCCACAGCTCTTGGTACTTGGAATCCTCAGTTCCCTCTACTGTCTGTCACCCTGGGCTCATCCTGCTCTTGGGGGGCCTCCCCAACCCTCCTTGGGGCCCAGGAAGTGATCTGCTGAGAAGTGGTGACTGGGCCACAGGAAGTAACTCCACAGAAGGACAGGTGGGAAAGACTGGGCGAGGCAAGCTCCCAGGCGCAGGGGAGGCTCTGAGCCCTGGTCTCTGTGTGAGTCCTTGACTGTCCTGCTCACCGTGCTGGAGTTGGTGATCTGCTTTTTCTCCATCTGGTCCATCCTGGGCCTCTCAGGGTTTCACACTTACCTCGTCGCCTCCAACCTGACGACTAATGAAGATGTGAGTAAGGCTGGAACTGGGCTGGATTGTGGGAAGGAGGCAGGGCTGAGGGAGCTTGGAGTGGCTGCAGTGGGCCCTGACTATCACATTGCCAGGAAAACGTGGGCAGAGATGTGAGGCAGCCAGACACCTCCTTCCAGTGCTCACAGCTGGGCCCTGGGAGACCCAGTGCAGGCTCCCAAGGCCCCCACATGCCTCAACTCTCATGCAGGCTCCCAGGGTCCTGAGGTTCCTTTCTCCCTGTCCCTGTAAGAGCAGCACTCACACCATAACCAGCTTACATTTGGCTGGCTTATTACCATTTTTAGAGTTTTTTGAGTTTCCATCATCTCTTTGGGTCCTTTTGCCAACTCTGAAGCAGAAGGAACAGGGATGCTTTTTCTCCATTTGATGGCTGAGTGACTTGCCCCAAGGTTACACAGCTGGAAATAGATAGAGCAGAAATGGTCCAGAAGCCATGGTCATGCTCTCAGGGCCCCACCACCCTGCACAAGTTCTCAGGGTGTCTCACAGCAGAGATGTGACGGTTTCAGGGTGTCCTGGGGCTCTCTGAGGCATCCTTAGTGAGGGGGGCGGCCTGGATAGAAGCGTGGGACTCTATCAACCCTCTTGACCTGCCTTATAGATCACTACCAGCAAGCGTTTGAGCACCCACTGTGTGTTCAACCCTGGGCCAGATGTACCTCCCCTTCCTGTCCTCCCAAACAGTAAAGAAAAGGAAATAAGAGCATCTGTTCCAGGGCCACCATAGGATACTGCTCAGAGGCCCATCGTCCAACAAAAAATACATTTCTTGACCTCAGCCTGCCATTCAGGGGAGCAAAACTTAACATGCATGATAGGGTATCATGTGCTAGGTAATTGGCACAGAGCAGAAATGATATCAGCCAGCATGTTCCAAGGTGGTTTCCTGGTGCTGGTTCTGCAGGATATTGCTAGGAGTTAAGCAAAAAAGGGTGTCATGGCCAAGTAAGTTTGGAAAACTCTGGGTTAAAGTCATACAGGTATCCTTTTCTGCTAATCTCCTCAGTGCCTTTGATAGCTGGCTTCACTGAGCTAGAGGTGGGCAGGATTTCATCTGATTCTCCCAGAGTGTTGTCAGAGATTCCCCTATTTTTCAAATGAGGATTGAGACTCAGAGAAGTGGTGATCTGTCCAGGGTCATGCATTGAGTCTGTGGCAGAGCCAGAGTTCACAGTCAGGTCAGCCTGAGCCCTGTACTATTCTCCTTCTTAGGTGGCAGGCCATAGAAGGAAGGATGCACCCAAAAAACTTCTTTTGGAAGCTTCTGTTTGGCTCTGCTCTGTCTTCTGTTTTGGTTAGGGCCTCTTCTGGGTGCCCCTCAACACCCAACAATCCTCCACATTCACTAAGTGGCCTGGGTTAAAGCATGTTCCCTCCAGTAGTCTAGCCAGAATTGGTTTCAGAATTCACCAATTTTCCCCACCATCCAGAAAAAATGAAATGAAGGGAGATACCTGACCTAGAGACTTCCTTCCTGCTTGTAGATCAAAGGCTCGTGGTCCAACAAGAGAGGCGGTGAGGCCTCTGTCAACCCCTACAGCCATAAAAGTGTTATCACCAACTGCTGTGCTGTGCTCTGCGGCCCCCTACCTCCCAGGTAAGCCAGGAGCTGCAGGCGAGAGGTCACGGGTCCTGGCCTGGCCAGTGGAGGGTGGCCCTGTGAGTCCACTCCTCTCAAAGAGGTTCTGAAATCAACAGATCTCTCCCCGCACCACAGACACCCTCTGTCTACCATCCCCTGCTGAATGCACTCGGGATGCTTGTCACATAAAGGGATTCTGTAGAGAGCCGTAATTTGTAATCACTTGCTCATTGTAGAAGAAAATTAAGTACAAAATGTTAAAAAGAGGAGTATTAGATATCACATGTAATCTTACTCCCCAGGGATATCCACAATTAATGTTTTCGCCATGCTTGAGCGACACTGCCCTTCTGGTGGTGATGGCTGGGCTGGGTTCAGCCTCCGTCTCCCTTCTGGCAGAAGAGAGCCCTGGAGGCTCAGCCCTGCTGGGAAGTGCCCGATCTTTCCTGACACCAGGGGGTGCCAGAGTGCCAGATCAGGAGTTAAAGTGCAGTGGACACTGTGACTAAGACTTCCCCACACCATCCCACTTCCTCCCACCCAATATGCCTGTCACCCATTCTGCCCTGGGGGAAGGGACAGTAGGAATCTCACTATCTCCCATTGTCCTTTCATCCTTGCTTTTCCTCTTACCCACCGCCTGGGAGCCCGACAGAAAGCTGGACAATTTGAATTAACAGTGGATAAATTCTGTGGCCAAAAGCCAGGTGTTCAGAGTACAGAGAGGGCTTTTCCAGAAAGGAAGGGTCTTGAGCTCCCAACTGGAGAGCAGCTCTCCTTTCTTTAGCCTTTCTAGGGCTGGGTCTTTCCTGGACTCTGCCTTCCAGCACCCAGCCTGGAGCCCTGGCGTCAGGCAGGGCCCTCATGTGTCCCCTCTTGTATTTTGGAAGCCTGATTGACCGGAGGGGATTTGTGCAGTCCGACACTGTGTTGCCATCACCCATCAGAAGCAATGAGCCAGCCTGTGGAGCCAAGCCCGACGCCAGCATGGTAGGAGGCCACCCCTGAACTGGGCTCAGTACTTGCCACCCGCTGGCCTGTCTGCCCCTCTGCACTCACCTGCCGCCCTCCACACCTGCCAGGACCCTCCCCATTCCACTCGAGGGAAGCAGAGCCGCCAAAGACTTTCTGAGTCTTTTCGTATTTATTTCCTACCCCGCGTGGCTTTCCCCACACTGTGCCGTGGCTGTACCCTCTGCTCCCCAAACTGGGTTCCCATGGCCTTCGGCCCTAGATTCCCCCACCTGATCAGTGGCAGGAGTGGCAGGAGGGAGGCCAGGGCCCCTGAGGTGCCCCGGGGGCCACGCCGAGTCTCTGCCGTGCCTGGGCGAGCTCTGTGTGAGTGAGGGTGTGGACTGTGTGTGACGCCTCCCAGGTGGGGAGCTGGTGGGCTCTGCTGAGCCGAGGTCTGGGGGGTGAAGCAGGACCAGGGAGCAGTGCACTCTGGACAGCAGGCCATGGGAGAGCACGTCTCCTTGGGCTGCTTTGGTTTGTGGGCTCCTTCATTCTTTTTGTGATGACCGTTGTTCTTTCTTCCGTTTTTCTTTTTATTTTTGTATGGAGTTGGCCAATAGGCTAGAGCTGGGGCTCCAGATAGGGCAGAGTTGGGGTGGGTAGGGGGGAGCCTGTGTCAGAGGAAACCAGACCAGCCAGCCAGGCACCCAAGACCTCAGCTCCTGCATAATTCCTGGGCAGCACACTAGGAAGTGGGGGCCTTGTCCCCTCCCTGCCCATGGAGGGTTTTCCAAGGGCCCAGCCTGGCCCCCCCACCTCTCCCAAGTCAGGTCTGGGGATGGTCAGGTTATATTCATGCTGGCAATACTTGAAACGGGTTTATTAATGCTGGGTATTTTGCACAATTTTATAGACCTCTTTTCTATATAGCATTTTTTAAATGGAAGAAGAAACAAGTCAGCCACATTGCTATCTGTGTAGTACCAGATTAAGGATTATCAGAAGGCAACTTGCTTTTAATAGGTTTATTACAAGAGACCTTCTGGCTGTGAGTGAGTGAGTGTGTGTGTGTGATCACGCGTGCCCTCGTATGAATGTGGCTGGCTCCCACTCCCCCACATCCCCTGGGTTGCCCCACTCCTTGCCATCCCTCTCGGGTGTAAGCCTGCGGTGGCAGCAGCAAAAGCAGCCTGAGCCATAGGGACAGGGAATGTGTGCATTGGTAACAAGCGACCCCTGGGCTCCCTCTGCAATTCAGCCCCATCCTCCTATTTTTCCCTCCTCCGCAGACTTCAGACAAACTGTGGCTGGGACTCAGCCACCCAGCCCCCAGGTCAGGCTTCCAGCTGGGACCTGCCCAGACAGGCTGAGGCCTGGTCAGGTGGATGGGGTAGTGGCTGTGGGGAGTGTCTGCCATCCTACACGCCACACCCCTTTCTCCAGCGTCTGAGTGTGAGGCCCAGCATTGGCTAGAGCATGGGAGCATCGGAGGCCTCCCTCCGGAGAATAGGAAGGAAGGAAGGAACAAGGTGGGCCAAGAGACAAGTGCAGGTTGGCTTAAATCTAGGCCAGAAACTTAGAGGATGTCCCTCTTCTGCTGGGAGCCATAGTTTCTTGTCAAAATAGATAGAAAATTGCCCCTCTGTCCCCTTTCTTGGCCCTTCAGGTGGGCTGAAGCCCTTGGAAAGTGACATAGGAAGTCCCCGCATCTTGTCTTTCCTTGCTCCAGAGGCTAGTGGGTCACAGGCAGAAGTGGCAGCCACAGAGGGTCCCCTCCAGGAGAATGAGCTTCATCCTAGCCTCAGGGCCCTGGGCCACGCTGCAGTGGCCTTGGGAGGTGGGGAGGAAGCTGGCTAGAGGAGGGGCTCCTACCTGCCTTTTATTTAAGCCAGTATCCTTTGTTCCTGCTTGTAATAAAATTTTTGTTTTTAAGAATTGATTTGCTTTGGTTTGGTTTTTGTTTGCTCTTCCTTTGCTGAGGCCCCAGCTGGCAGCCCTCTATTCTTTCAGCCAGACTTGTCTTTCCTGGGGAGACGGAGAGAAGGGCCGGCAGCCCAGTGATCTGGCTACCATTCTCCTCTCCTGGCTGGAGTGTGTCTGCTGGAGGCTAAGCAGAGGGGGCTGCCGCTTGGTCCCCACAGGCGTGTAAGAAAAGGCCATCCTGTCCCCTCTTCCTCCTGTCTACCTCCCCTTGCTTCAGGGGCTTGAAAACCCCTAAGTTCTTCCTTGTTGCCTTTTCACTCTGATTCCCGGTGACTACTCAGCTAAGAAAATGTTTATAAGACAGTAGATTCCAGGTTGAGAGCCAGAGCCTCCCTTGCCCCCACCCCTACGAGGGCAGCAGAGCCCAGCCAGACAACGCATAACACTGGCCCACCTCTCTGGTATCTCCCCCAGGAGGACACCTGTCAGGATTTTGCCATCTCCTGCACAGCCTGAGGGGAGCTAACAGGCCTCTTTGCAGAGGGTTAGCTGGTAAGACCGTATCTCCCCCGTCAGCCAGCACTGCCCGCTCCCCTCACACACCATCTCATCCTCATCGCATGCCTCACCAACCCCATGGAGCCCATTCATCTGTCTGGTGTGTGGTGTGGTGTGTGTGCTGGCGCCGGTAGGGCCCCCAGGGTTCCCCCTAAGCAGAAGGAGCGGGGCATGGGGGCAGAGCTAAGAGCCCAGCCCCACTCTGGACTGAGGAAGCAGCTTCGTGCAAAGCAGCTGTCCAGCTGGAGCAGGAGGTGAAGGGTGAGGTCGGGGAGAGGATGGTGCACCTGCTCGGAGGTGCTGGGGCCTGTTCTGGTGGTGTCCTGGTGTGTAGGGGCCCTCGATCACTAACACTTGTGTCCTGGCTTTCTGTCCCTGCTGAGCTTTCTCTCACCTGCCCGTTTTCTCTCCTGCTTCGTTGCCTGCTGCCCAAGCCTTGGCCCTTCTGTGGGGAAGAGGCAACACCTCTCCCCACCGGCACCCCTACAGGCTTCCTCCCTCCTCCCAGTCTTGCTAACCCTCTCTCTTCTCCTTCTTTGCTGTCCTGCCCGGGATCTCCAGTATGTGCGGGGGCTTAAGGACCTCCTGAGGACCGCTGCTCTCTGCCTCTCCAGGAGCGGCCTGGGGGGAGCCAGGCACCCGGCACCTCCACCTGCCTAACCTGTGGCCCATCTGCCACCGTCTGTGCCTACAGGGTCTGCCCCACTGTGTGCTCTCTAGGGCCCCCCATAGGAGGCAGGGGCTGGCCTCTTTGCCCTGACCCCTACTCCATGCCAGCCAGAGTGTAGAAAGCCATAAAGCAGCTGTCAGCACAATGATGTAATACTATGCTGAAACTCGCCCTCCCCTCCTCCACTTTCCTTCCCCTTCCCCAGATTTGTAAGTTGTCAAGACTCTAGGAATCCTGCCTTACAGCCTGCCCACCCCCAGAATCAAGCATAGCCTTAGTCAAGCCGAGCAGGTTTCTTCAGGAGCCGTCTGGGGTGTTGATGACGCTGTTGAACAAGTTTGGTGACTGTTCTAAGCACAGCTGGTTTGACACTGTTCCCACGGCACCCTCACCCCCACCCCCCAAAGCAGGTAGGATGTAAGGAGGGTGCTTGTACCCTTTGCTCAAGGCACCGAGGGACTGACCTAGCCCTAAAAGTCCCATGTTCTTCAGAGGAACAAAAGGAAATGGGGCCAGGCCTAGGAAATCTGTTGAGCCCATGGCTGGGGGCTGCTTGTCTGCTGTCCTGTACCTTTTTTAACCAAAATAAAGATCTCCCTCTTCTTGCCATAACCTTGGCTGTCTGGTGCCACCTTTACTTTGGGGTCCAAGGGGTGGGGCCTGTGCTGAGTGTGCAGGAGAACACCTGGCTTACCCTCACCTCTAGCTTTGTCAGCTGGTCCTTGCTGTTCTGGAGGTTTTTAAAAAGTAGAGCAGTGAAACCAGAATGACACAGTCAGAGTGGCTAGTGTCATCTTTACTCTGTTCTTCCAGAACTTCTGGACTCAGTTCTACAGACCTTCAAGCCTTGGCTGACTTCTGAACTCAGAATGGCCCCAGCCCAGGCTGGGACAGAGGGTTTAACTCCACACCCCTGAACTAAGCCCAGCCCAGAGTAACAGTCTCATGGACCTTTCCCTCTCTGCAGCTGTCCCCACATTGGGATACGTGCTGTGTGCTAAGAGCTAAAAAATAATTACAGCGGCCACTTAGCACAGGTTTGCCAAATGCCAGCCTCGTTCTTTTCCTTAAACCTATGAAGAAGGCGATGTCAGCCTTTTTACAGATGAGGGCACTGAGGCTCAAGAAAGGCACAAGAGTTGCCCAGGGTCTCCCAGCTGATAAATCCAGAATTTGAGCCTGATCTCTGCCCCGACCTCTGTCCCTTCTGCACCACACAGGAATGAATGGGGAGGAGGAGCTCTCAGAGGGAGGAACCCTGAAATTAGAGAACGTTGTTCAGAGCTAGCAGGGGGCTTAGAGGTGATCTGTGCTGGCCTCTTCTTACTAATGAGGAAACTGAGGCCAAAAGGCAGGAAGGGACCTGCTCAAGGCCTTATAACAGAGCTGGGATGCAGTCCCACACGCAGACCTTATTCCATTCTCTTTCCAATAATACCATACTTTGTCCTAGACTGGACGGGTCTAGGACATATAGGATACTTGAAACAGCAGTGCCTTGAGAGAAAAAAACTCAGGATAGCTGAGTCACTTAAAAGTAATCTAGTATCTCTCCCAGAGGCAACCAACTAGTAGAGTGAGTTCTTGGCTGAATAACTGAGCTCTTGTTCACAACTAACCAGGGGGAGAAGGTGCCGTAGTTTCCTCTAGTCACCTGTTTAATTTGATCATTCTCAGACTGAAAAAATTCCTAGGAAGTTCTTTCTGGAATCTAACCAGAGTGCCTTCTGCTGCAATCAGAGCCCTGTCCTGTTAACAATGAAGGTAGGTAGCAACTGGTTGCTGCCATCTCTATGCCATAACCCTTCAAAGCCTGTTATTATCAGCTAAGAAAGATTGGTTTCCTATAGTACCAGAGGCCTTGATCCTGCTGGTAGCATGGATGCTGTACAGAAGCGGGAGAGGTAGCAGGCAGGATAAGAAAAGCCCCTTTGGGCTGCAGCCCCAGCTCCTGTCCTGCTGACTCAGGTGGCTGACGGTGGAACTCAGTGCCCTGCCAGGGCCTGCTGCCTCCTGTCTGCCTGGGCTCCCGGACTTAGGAAACGGAGGCCTGGAGGCAAAGGGAGGTACCTGAGACAGGAACTGAGTCAGGATCTACAGGCCAGAGCGGGCAGGAGGTGTTAAGCAGCCTGGCTCCCACATTCATCCCTGAGCTTCCGCAAGGGAGGTGAAAGAGTAAAGAGGCTTCCTTTCCCTTGCTCAGTGCTGTGCTGAGGGCATGGAGCTTGTGGTGTGAACCATCACCAGGTCTCTTGGCTTGAGTGGTAGGAAGGGAATGCTTCCTCTGGGACAGAGCAGCTCCAAAATTCCTAGGCCTACCAGGCCCTGCCTTCCAGGTTTCTAGTGTTCTGGGATCTCCAGCTTTCCCCCAGGACTTGGGAAAGCCTGGGCTGGATGACTAGTACAAAGGAAGGTCCTTGAGGGCCCAGGGCCTGCATATGTAAGAGGAATGTCTGAGCTGGAGAGGGAGGAGGCAGCACTGAGTGCTTCTGACCATTAATAGTCATCTTTCCAGCTGGGCAGGGTCTGGCTTTCGGCTTGAGGCCTGGTTTGGGGCCCTTCCTTATTTCATAGAAACCAGCTCCATGTTAGTGCTTGGAGTGTATATGTTTATAATTCTAAGGTTGGATGGATTTTTTCACATGATAGTAATAGTTACCATCGACTCTACTAAGTGTTTTCCATCAACTCATTGAATCCTCATGAGCCCCGTTTGATACTTAGGAAAACTGAGGCTTATGGAGGTTAAGTCACTTAGCCAAAACCACAGCAGCTTTTAAGAACTGAACCCAGGCCGTCTGATTCCAAAGATGCTGTGCCATTCTGTCTCTCATAGAAAAATAATACACATTCCCCATTGATAACCTGAAAATAATAGGAAAATCAGAAGGAAAAAAACCACTTGAAATCCTACTACCTAAAGGTATGCTCTGTAAATTTATATTTTAGTGTATTTCCTTTCCATCATTTTCTGTGTCAGTAATCTGTTTTAAGCAAAGCCTTCAGGATGTCAAGTCGAAAATCCCTTCTGCTTCCTTGGAAAACCTGTAACATCAGCCCAGACATGTCCCTACTTTTCCTTCAAAGAAGCAGATCTCATTTTTGAGCCTCAAGAGTTCTGGCCTTCCAGGAGGGGATGGTGGGTGTTCAGACACCAAGAAGAACCAGGAAGGGACAAGCCTGTGAAATGGTCCTGGTTCAAGGATTAAATTGGCTGGATGCCAGTGAGGGGAGCCCCACCTGTGAGCCCCGTCTGAGCTTTGGCTAGGCGTGGAGCAGAAAAGCAGGAACCCACCCTCATAGGTGCAGTGCCAGCAGCTTTAGGTGAAATTCTTGGCTGACACGAAGACAGCACCCCAGCAAACAGGGACAGAAGATTGGCAATAGAGAAGTCTCCATCTCTGAGGCCTCTGCCAGGGGTCAGAGGTGAGGCCATGGTCAAAGGGAAGGGGCAGGGAAACTTCTGAGAGGCAGGCTTGGGGAGGCAGCACTCAGCTGGGACTGCTGCCCTATAAAATGAAATGGTTTGTCATGGCCACCTCCTTTTTCTCGGTCCCGTCTCTCTCCCCAGTTGCTAGTGTCCTCCCCTGGGGAATCAAACTGGGCTGAGCACCCAGGTGGCCTGCTTCCCAGACTCTGACAGAGGGCGGGCTGAGTCAGGCAGGAAAGTGGGACAGCCAGTGAGCTGGGTCCCCACCCTCTGTGAGCCCTACTGATACATGACGGCAGGCGGCTTGGAGGAGGCAGGTGACCTGGCACGGAGAGGCTGAGGGTAAGTCCTCAGACAAGTGGCAACAGGCCACCAACTTGAAAGGGAAAATTGTGCTGCAATGGGGAAGGTATCCAAAAAACCTACTGAGTGACTAATTACAAAGGCTGGGCTGGAGCGTCAGAGGCCGCTCGTTAAACACCTCATTAAGTGGCACCCTGAAAGCAGCCACCTGTGCATTCTGGGAGCTCAGAGGGGACAGGACCCTGAGGAGGCGTGAGGGGCGGAGGATGGAACCATTACAGTTAGACTCAGGAGAACTCATGCCTCTCACTTCTAAATACAGCCTAGAGCTCACAAGTCAAAGCCTTGATGGAAGAGAAGCCAAACTTAGTAGCTGTGGAACCTTGAGCAAATCTCATCCCTCTCTGAGCTTTAGTATTCCCATCCCTACAGTGGGAGTAGTATTCACAGTCCTGCCCATCTCACAGAGACACAGCCGGGATTAAGTTAGATCATGGGTATGAAGGTGCTTGGGAAACTACAGCCCCACCTAAACAATGAGTTATCTCACCAGAACCAATGGAGGAAACATACCTGGCAGGATTCGGAAGGAACCCCATCCTCCTGCACCTGGCTTTATGAGCTCTGCCTAGATCCACAGTGGCCAGGTAAGCTGACGCCATTCTCAGCCCCTGGAAGGACACTGTGAAGGAGGATCTGATTTGAGAAACTGGGGCAGCTACCTAATGTGGGCACCCATTAGGTAATGGAAGCCCTGAACAAGGGGGCAGCCTGAAGCCTGGAAAGGTGTCGGTGCAGGTGGGGCCAACGCCCAAATTTCTCCTGCTGACTGTCCGGATGACTCACCCCCACATCCCAGCCCTTTTACCTTTAAGGAAGAGCCGGAAAGGGTGGCGGGTGGGGCGGAGAGGGAGGCAGGTCTTGGGCTCTAGTCCCGCCCTCTGCCCCTCCCCACCCTCCTCTGGGCCTGGCCTTCCAGCCAAAAGGCAGGCAGAGAGCAGGAGAGGCACAGAATCCTGCATTGGTTCCGAGGCAGCCAGTTACCCTGCAGCCTGTCGTCTGTCCCCAGAGCCATGGAGAGAGCCAGTCTGATCCAGAAGGCCAAGTTGGCAGAGCAGGCTGAACGCTATGAGGACATGGCAGCCTTCATGAAGAGCGCCGTGGAAAAGGGTGAGGAGCTATCCTGTGAAGAGCGCAACCTGCTCTCAGTGGCCTACAAGAATGTGGTGGGTGGCCAGCGGGCTGCGTGGAGGGTTCTGTCCAGCATTGAGCAGAAGGGCAATGAGGAGGGCTCGGAAGAGAAGGGCCCGGAGGTGCGAGAGTACCGGGAGAAGGTGGAGACGGAGCTTCAGGGCGTGTGCGACACGGTGCTGGGCTTGCTGGACTCACACCTCATCAAGGAGGCCGGTGACGCTGAAAGTCGTGTCTTCTACCTGAAAATGAAGGGCGATTACTACCGCTACCTGGCCGAGGTGGCCACCGGTGACGATAAGAAGCGCATCATCGACTCGGCCCGGTCGGCCTACCAGGAGGCCATGGACATCAGCAAGAAGGAGATGCCGCCCACCAACCCCATCCGCCTGGGCCTGGCCCTGAACTTTTCTGTCTTCCACTATGAGATCGCCAACAGCCCAGAGGAGGCCATCTCGCTGGCTAAGACCACCTTCGACGAGGCAATGGCTGACCTGCACACCCTAAGTGAGGACTCCTACAAAGATAGCACCCTCATCATGCAGCTGCTGCGGGACAACCTGACGCTGTGGACGGCCGACAACGCCGGGGAAGAGGGGGGCGAGGCTCCCGAGGAGCCCCAGAGCTGAGCCACACCTGCTACCCTCCCTACCCTGCCCTACCCGCTCCAGTCCCTGGCTCCTGGCAGAGAGGACTTGTATGGGGTGGGAGGCCCGACCCTTCTCTCCAAACACTCTGCCCCAGCCCAGAAAGGCTTCACAGAGAGGAACCAGCAGAGCTGAGGCCACCAGGAGCCAGAGGATTCCACTATTCATGAAGCTGTCAGGTGCTCCTGACCACTAGTCATCCCACCCAAGCCTGCTCTCTGCTCCCCCACAGGTCCCACCCCTGAACCTAGCCACTTCCTCCCTGCCCCAGCCCCCTCCTGCCCCTACTACTGCCTCTGGATCTTAGGAAGTGAGGAGTGTCCCACCCTTGTGGCTGAGAACTGAACTGTGTGGCAGAGGCTGGAGATAGAGTGAAAGAGAGTGTGTGTGTGTGCCTGCGCAACGCAGCGAATGACAGAGAAAGCATGTCTGCTGGGTGTGACCCTGTTTCCTCTCAATAAAGTTCCCCTGTGACACTCCTGTCTTTTTTCTAGTTATTGCGGAGGGACGGGACAGGGATTGGTGTATGATTTACAGAGACCTTGACCTCCCACCTCCCATGGGGCTGGATATCTGGCCCGCAGGCAAGAGTCTGGAGCCAGTGACTCCAGGAAAGAGGTCAGGGGTCCAGCTCTCTCAAGCAGGGTGGCCCCAAACTGGTCTGGTCCCGGGAAAGTCAAATGAGCACAAAGGCGGCTGGGAGGTTCCTCTGCCGGGGCACTGGGGCCGGACGGAGGCTGAAGAACTCAGACCTGAGGGGACGGGAAACTAGTGAAGTTTCTGGTGTGAGGTCTGAGGACAGCGACGCAGGAATACGCTGTAGTGAGCTGCACTGAGCACCCTAGATTTTAAACTGGGGAAGAGTCCCGTTAGGTGCTCGGATCCGAGCGGAGGGGAGTACGACCTGGAGCAGGGGTATGACGTCGCCATTAAAATCGGCATTAAATACCCCGCAGCGTTCGTGGATGGGGACAAAATGAAATGCGTTAGTGAGGAGGAGGCGCAACCTGAGCAGGAAGAGCCGCGGGAAGCGGGTCTGGTCTTGGCCGGCCGTGCTCCCCACCTCCGCTGCTCGGCTCCCAGCATCAACTCGCCTTGGCCTGCGGCCACTTCCCAAGACCCCGCCTTCAAGCCCGCGGCTGGAGGCGGGCCCGAGGCTGATATTATCCAATCACAGGAGGGATCTGCTCAGGAGCCTGCCCCCGTAGCCTGGCAGGCCAATAGGGAGTGAGCGGCGGAACGCGTGCGGGGCGACTTCCCGCCGCTCGCCCGGCCCCGCCGGCTCCCTGACGCGCTGCCTGACGGAGGGACCTCTGCCGCCCGCCGAGCGCCAGGGGCGGCGCTCTCCCGGTTTCACTCGGGCAAGTTGCCACCCGCCCGGCCCGAGAGCTCGGCATCCTCAGAGCAGCGGGACGGGGTGGGACCGTGCGCAAAAAGCAGTCCCCGCCCTTTGAGTCATCTGCTGAACCGGCGGTGCCTGGGCCGGCCGGATGCGAAGAGTCGGCTGGGAAAAGACCACTACGGTAAACTGGTGGCCAGGAGGCTTGGATGTGTCCCTGAGTGGCTTTGCGACCTTGGAAAAGCCATCATACCTCCCTGGGACTCAGTTTCCCCTTCTGTATCATAAGGGGCCTAGACTAAAGACTTTCTAACGAAAAATGAGGAGTTAAAACTGCCTGGGTTTGACTTCCAGCCTGCCTTGGTCAAAGCTCTTAACCATGCTTACCTTCTGTCCTCATTTGTAAAGTGGAGATTAAAAAATAGTACCTTCCTCTTAAGAGCTGCTATGAAGTTTGAGAAAATAAATGCATGTAAAGTAGACCATGGTACATATTCAGTACGTTAGCTATTATTAATCCTTCCGGCATCAGTAGTCTAAGATTTATCCAGCATATCTGTGCAAAAGCAGAATAATCAGGCCCAGTCCTGAGGAACAGCTTTACTCCCAAAGCTGACCAGTATGCCCACTGGGTCACCTGAGAATATGGCCCAAGTCAGGTGGTCACGCCTTTACCTGGCAAAACTGGGAAAACTCAGTCCAGCCTCACCAAGTTCTCCAGAGTCCAGTTTGGTCACACCCATGGGACCCAAAATTGAAGGGCTCTTATCAGAGCTACTAATTCTACAGGGGAAGCTGGCAGGACCACTCTGATGCTTTCTGGGTTCCCTGTTTTCTCCTCTCCTTTCCCAGAAGGGTGTTGAGTTTCAAAGTTCCAAACCAGGCAGAGACTCAGTGAGAGGGCAAGTGACACCCCCTCAGCTCTGGAAGTGACCTGGTTTCTCTTACCAGACAGGTCTGGTGACTTTCTCTTAATGGGGTAGGTCCTGGGAAAGGAAATTCTTTCTTCTTTTCTCTCAGCATTTGACTTCTGCCTCCTCCCTCTGTACCACTCTTGGTTGCCCTCTATGGGGAAAGAAATGAGCTACCCTAAGGTAGCGTGTTGGTGTCGACAGATTTCAAAAGCAGATGCTATGGATTGGAATATTACCAAATCAGACAGCTAGCTGTGAGCTGGCTTAGGCACCAGCTTCTGAACTGGGTCCCAGACCTTTTTATCTAAAGCTTTCTTTCTTACTGTTACCCCAGGGTGGGGTCTCAGTGAGCATTTCTTGCCATCTTTTCCTGGCCTAAATTTGACATTTAATATTTTTTAGCCTTACTGTTAATGGATGTGGAAATTCTTTTGGGGTGATGAAGTGTTTTGGATTTAAATAGTGGTGATAGTCGCACAACTTTGTGAATCTATGAAAACACACTGAACCGTACACTTTAGAAAAATGAATTTTATGATAGGTGATTTATATCTCAATAAAAAAAAATCAGTCCTTTCTTCCTATAGTGTCTCTAGCAAGGTTTTCCTTCTAAATGCCTAGAAGCCAGGTTTAGTGCCAGGTGCTCTTGAAAGTCTCTGAAGAGTTGTATGGGGAATATTTGCAACTTAAAATTTTCTAGGGAAAGTATGTACTCTTCTTTCTCTTATATGTAGTTACTTCAGAGAGCAAAGTCCAAGTTGGCTCTGTGGATCCACAGGAGCTGGTGCTGGAAGGCAAGGCATTGAGGACACACACACACACACACACCCCAACTGCCTTTTTAGGAAAACCTGATTTCAAATGCTTCCTCCAAGATTGCTCTTCTAAAAGTGCCTCACTCACGCTTCTTCCTAGAGAACAGAGTACAGTAATAAGGGCACCTGGCCTCACCGCTATGTGCCAGGCAGTTTCATACTTTTATCCTCACAGCAATACTATTATCATCTTTGTTTTGCACATGAAGAGACTGAGGCTCAGAGCAGCTAAATAACCTAATAACCAAGGTTATACAATGACTTGTGTGCCTGGGGAGTGGAAGGAGTCTGACTCCAAGGCCCACGATTTTTATACTACAACAGCTGTTTTCAGAGGGTTCCCCCAGAAGCTGCCATAGGGCAGGAGACCAGTGGTCAGGGTTTCCCCGGTTTCCACACGCATTGGCTAAAAGAGCCACACATATGTCTGTTTTGTATATTGGAGTTTCACGAGATAAAAATAAATTTGAAAAGAACCACCTTATGCTATGCTGCCCTGCTCCTTTCTCAGACTTTCTAAGAACCAGGAAAGACTTCTTACTCTACTTTATCTAAAGCCACTCCAGGGCCTGGCAGAAAGGGATTGTCTTAAATGAGAAAAACCTGTGTGGTAGACCAATTTCCTGGCTCATTCACCAAGATTTCCTTAACCTGGTTACATCCTTTTTTCCTTTTCAATTCTTCAGCCTGTTAACAGGGTCTCAGCTGTTCTCCACATCCCTGCTGTGCGTGGGAGGGGGGATGGGAAAGGCAGGTTTCTGCAGGGATGGTCTGCCTCCTCTCACAACCCCCCCAGCCCTACCTACCCACTGAGTCAGGAATCAGGAATGTCTTTGGGGGCAGCAGACAGGTATGTCACCCTGGGGGTGTCAGAGGGCTGACTCATCTCTCATCTCCACCCAATCTTCTCCTTACTGCTCTCTGAGAAATTTAACTCTGTCTAGTTTAACTCCCTCCAGAAGTCAGATAAAGGGGAGAAATCCAAGACTCTGAAAAGCAAAGGGTCTTTAATCTATGGCTATGTACAGTATTTAATACACCAGATTATTGAATTCAATAAATATTTGTTAAAAGAGAAGGAAAGACTTTCCTTCTCTTTAGTCTTTCTTCCTCCAGACCAAAGTTAACCTGAAGTTTCCTTGTCTGACTGTGGAGAGGATTGGTTTTTAGCTCAGAGTAGATTACGTGACCACTGGTATGACTTATGAGTTTGCCCAATATCCCTTCTTTGCTGTTTCTATGACTCCACAAAGTGATGTGGAGGCTCCAGGATTAATATATAGGAAAAGGCAACAATCCAGTGTGAAGGGGAGCACCAGGCAACATTTCTTGAAGCTGTTTTTCACAGTAAGCTCACTGCTTTAAATTTTGTTTATTTGAGATGACTTTGAAGGGGCCTCTCATCTCTCTCCTCCATGACTGCTTCCGGGTTTTGGGTGGGGAGGAAAAAAAGGTAAACTTCTCTATGTATGTATTCTAATCCAGAGCATTTTACCAGTACTCACATTTTTCACCTCAGCTGAGCTCAGAATCCCCAGCCCATCTCATAGTCCCTCAGTCTTAGGCCACCTGGACACCTGGGCTTCTGGGGCTGCCTGGAGTTGGCTCCCTGGCTGGAAATGGAGGACACAGTGGGTTGGAAATGAGGCATCTGGTTTTCCCCTATTCTCAGCAAGCCTGATGCCATTGAGGTATGTGCTAACCTGGGACTCTACCTTCTAAAGGGGAGATGGGGAGATGAGCAGCCCGGACCAGGCTGGGTAAAGGCTCAACAGCCAGGGACAAGAGAGAAGAGGGAGAGGAGGGGAGCTACTCAGCTTGATAGAGAATTTCCCTCCAGGATTCTGAGATAGTTTGGCCTCCCGGCTGCTTTCAAAAACAGGTTGGGCCTTAGTAATGCTGGGAAGTCACAGCCTTGTCCCTCTCAGGAGCCTTGAGAAATGACAGAGAATCTCTCAGATCGACCTTCCCACAGACCCTAATGGGATCAGGCTTCCTATTCTCAGCCACTGTGTCTGAGCATTTTGCTAATTCAGAAACAGCTGAGAGCAGACTGGCTGTGCTACAGCTCTGTGGGCTTTAGGGTGTCACCCTCACTCCTAAGCCTCTTTGCCTGGGCTGGAGGCCTTTCCAATTAGATGTGGTCTCTAAGTTCCAAATGCTATCTCCCAATTGTTGGGGGTCCCCAGTTCAGAGCCAGGAAACGCATATTGGGATGGTTTCCTCCCTCCAGAAGTTATTCAGGATTGCCAAGTGAAGGTGTGTGTGTGTGTGTGTGTGTGTGTGTGTGTGTGTGTGTGTGTAGCAGCACAAAGATGTTAATAACACCACTATTTACAACAGTAAAAAAGATTGATAACGACTTACAGGCTAACTATGGGAATCTGGATAAGCAATGTTATGGCTGTACTGCAGAATATTATCATGTAGACATTTAAAAGGTCTTTATATTTTTAATTACATGAAATAATGTTAACTGAAAAAAGCAGGCTACAAAGCAGTAACATACCCCATGTATATAAATGCTGTAGCTATCCCTCCAAATGTGTAGAAAAATAAGACTAAAAGATAAAACAAACTGTATTTATACATTTGAATAGGAAATTTATTATAAATTATAAATATTATTTGTGTGGTGGGATTATGGGTGACATTTTCATTGAATCCACCAC